CATCTCTATCTCTCCCCCTCAAAATCTCCTAAAAACAAGGAATAGTATGTTGCTGGGATGGGACATGGATAGCTAGAGGATAAACAAAATGAGAGAAGATAAAAGAAAATGATGAGGAATGGGCTAAGGCCGCCCCACCTCCAGCATTCCCGGTGTCAGGCATGGGTACTGAGCTGTAACATTCCACACCACCAGCAGGCGTCCTGGGAGGAGGAAAGGGGTGCACCTACACTGAGGAGGGAGAAGATGTGGACGCTAACACAGAGGCAGAATCCAGTCACGGTCAGCTGGAACAAGCCACGCCAAGCCAACGTGCACAAAATCACCTCCACCCTTCCGGCTCTCTAGAAATGGAACAAACCCAAGGGAGGATTAGAGGATCAAGCGGTAGAATTGTGAGGGATTCTAGCGAGGGAGGGAGAATGTTTTGAGAAGTGAAGTATTTCCTGGCACAGGAAAGATGCCTTTTCCCTTACCACAGTCCTAGAACCACTACGTGTGGACTCATGGTTACCAGGGATTAAAGGCCAAGCCACGGCACGGTTAGCAGAAATCCTCAGCATCTGCTTATAGAGGACAAATGACAACTAGTCTTGGGCTTCTTTTTTTAGATTTTTTTTTTGGGGGGGGAGAGGTTTTTGCTATAGGGTGTGTGCACTCGCCAGACAGAGAGAGACAGAGAGACAGAAAGCGAGAAATCATCCCCCGGGGGAATGGCCATGCGGTAATCCCTTCTCCATTCTTCTCCTCTCGTGAACCGCAGTGAACTACATGGGAGTCCAGCAACATAGCCATTATGCTAACTGCTGGTCCCATCATGGGCTTCTTCAGCCAGACTGAGCACCATGTCTCACATCACACGGCATTCTCCAGCAACAAGCCTGGAATCTTGTCAGTGAAGAATAACTATTGATTGAGAAGGATAAGGAGGTCTAAGCAGAATCAAAGGATCCTTCTACTTTGCCCAGTCAGTGATAAGCAGTTCAACACTGGATATAGATTTACGGAGATTTACTGTGTGATGGCACTGTTCTAGGTACGAGGAAAGCAGCAGCCAACACGAAGGTTAGGTTCTAGTCTTACACTGCTTACCTTCTATGAGCTAGAAATAACCCCAGAATACAAATAGAGCATTGCAGAGAGTAATAAATACCATGAAGACAGGAAGTCTGGGCCAAGAGACAGTGGATGACCGAGGAAAACTACTTGAGATACAAGTTGTAGATGTTCTCTTCAAATATGTTACTGTTGGGTTAACGTCTGAAGGAGAAGATGAGGAGAGAAAAGCAAAGCTCTGGAGGAAGGGGGCCGGGTAGAAGGAACAGCGAGTGCAGGTGTGTACAGCAAGATCAGCCCTGGCATGCTCAAGGCACAGAAAACATGGGCTCTGCAGCTAGGGCGCATGGAGCGAAAGCAGAGGCCCACCTGCACACTGCATGAAAGACAGTGGCGCAACCTTAGACCCAAACTAAGAGCTCCTGAAACTATCGGTGCCTGGACCAGTGGGTAGCCTGGAAGTTAAGGCACTGGATGCCATGTAGCTGACTGCACGGTTCGAGTCCTGGACCTCGTGGCTGGAAAAACACGCTAGGTACATGCATGTGTGCCCACAATCCTGAGAGGAGACTGGAGGAGATGGGATTGTGGGATAGCCATACCCCTTGGGGGGGATTTCTCACTTTCTCTCTCTCTCTGTCTCTCTCTGGCAAGCATACATGTCCTAGAGCAAAAGCGAACAAACCAAAACTATCGATGCCTAAGACCCATTCTCAGAGACTGTTTAATAGGCCTGAGGTGTGGCCTGGGAAATAGACATTTAAGTTTCCCAATGATTCTAATGTACAACCAAGATTGTGAACCACCTACAAGATCTCAAGGGCCATGGCAGGGCACTTGGATGGCATGATACAAAGTTCCTGAAGAGACTCAGGGGCATGTCTTCAGTATTTCAGGTCTAGGGACCAGCAGTTGGCATAATGGCTATGTCACTGGACTCCTGTGTAGTCAACTGTGGTTCGAGTCCTGGACCTGGTGACTTAAAATCACCAGGCGCATGTGCGTGCATG